CAATGCCCAACAGCAGTTCCGTTCATTTTGAACAGGACTCGCTGTCCACGCCGCCGCGGCCTGTGTCCATTCGAGACAGAAGGCCGCCTGCCCAACAGCGGCCGCTGTTGGTTTGGAACAAATTTTCTTGTTGGGCATTGTACCCATTTTTCCGTACCCATTTGGGGCGTCCAAAATCGATGTTCGGAGGTCTTCGCGAGGAGTTCTTTAGTAGGTCGGCGCTGGACCCCCCGCGGGGCCTCCAAAAGTAGATGGGAAGGGCGAGTGGAGGGAGAGGGGAGGGGGAGGGTAGAGGAGGTGCGAAGGAGAAGAGAGAGGGGGAGATGAATTGACGAGGAGGTGGGTGGCCGAGGCGAGGGGGTGCGCAGAGGGAAAAAAGGGGAGAAAGATCAGCGGATGGCGGAGGCGGAAGGAGGGAGAAGGAGGGAGCCAGGAGTAGAGGCCAGCCGCGAGCCTGGGGTGGAAGCAAGAAGGGGCGGGCCTTCTCAGAAGGCTCGGAAGTCCAACTGCTCAGAAGCCCAGAGGGCTTCTGAGAAGCCCCGCCGCCTTCCGAGAAGGCCTTCTCCTTCCCACGTCCCCCCCTCGCTCGCCGCCGAAGGAGGCGAGGGTGGGGGCGGGCCCGTCGCCCCCCCCTCTGGGGAGGCGCTGTTCCCAGGCTCGAAGCGGCACCTCCCCCCTTTTTGGCCGCGGGCCTTCTTTGGGCTCCCCCCCCCTTCTTTTCGTAAACGAAGTGCTCCCCGCCTGCACTGGAGTATTTCACTTTGGCACACGACCGCAGTGAACAAAAATAGTAATGTAGATCAGCATCACTTCATAGTAAAGGTATCATGCCAGCCATTATCTCCATGATCACCATCCTTTTATCGCTTCGTACAGATATTTTCCCAAACGAGGTGCTCCCCGAAAAGCGGTTCGCTGCGGTTGGCTTTGCCTGTCTTCGTCGGGGCATGCTGCAGGAGTCGAGCACGAGAGAGGGGGGGGGGGGCGAGGGAGGGAGGGCGAGGGGTGAGTCGGGCCTGCGCCTCTACAGGAGGAATATCCAGAGGCAGTCAGACAGATAGTCCGGGGGCGATTCTCGCACCCTCCTTGACCCTTCTGGGGAGCATTTGTGGAGTGTTGTTTTTTTTCGCCCAAGATCCCCCTGCAGGGGCACAGGCCCGACCTCGGGCGAGGGCGAGGCGGCAGGGCGAGCAGAGGGGGAGAGAGAGGGCGCCGCCCGCCCCCGGGCGCGGAGAGGCGGGAGCACGAGAGCGCAGTGGCTCCGGGCCTCCCCCGCGCGGGGGCCCGAGAGCGGGCGCGGTCGGAGGGCCGCGCCGCGCCGGCGCATCGCCGACGCACCGCCGATGCGGAGCCCGAGGTGCTTCGCGTCGACGCCGCCGCTGCACCGCCCACGTCGACGGCACGTCGCCGACGCGTCGGCGGTGCGGCCCGATCCTCCGACCCCATCGACGCACTACGGCGCGTCGCCGACGCATCGGCGATGCGGCCCGATCCTCCGACCCCGTCGACGCACATCCGGCCCCATCCGGGAGGCCTCCAGGCACAGATATCTCCCCCTCTCTCCTGGCGCCGCTCCTCGCTTCCGCACGTCCCCATGTCCCCCCCCCCCCCCCGGGGCCGCGCGCGTGCCTGGAGGCCACGGCTTGCGAGCGCCCCTCTTGGACGCCCCCCCCTCTTGGGCGCCCCAGTGGAAGGGGGGGATGTCCAGCAGGTTCGCGCCTCGCGGAGGCGGCGGCGGCGCCGGCGCCGGCGTGCGAGGCTGCACTCCACCAGCTGCCTGGGCCCGGCCAGTATTGAGCGAGCCCCGCTGTCGGAGAGCGGCGATTTTCTTCGGGTGGAGCGACGGCGCGGCGTCGCAGGCCAATGCCCACGGCATCGCGACGTGGTCTTGCCGTACACCTTAGGCGATGCTTAAGAAAACCTAAGTTTTCGTCCAGAGTCTCGATTATTCTTAACGTTTTAATGTAAATCCCGAGATTTTGATAGAAGTTCTGGGTTTTATTCAATTTCTGAGACTATGAATTTCTTAACCCATGATTTCTTAAGCATTTCGCAGGGTGTAGAGAGGAGGGGGAAGAGGATCAGGCAGCCGTCGGACGCAGATCGGTCGCCCCGGAGTCTTCCAGATCGCTCTGGAGCTGCCGCTCGCGCCCGATATGAGGCGCTCCAAAGATGGCCTCGCCTTCGAGGATCGAAGGAGTTGTCATCTCTTCCTCGGCGGAAGGGCGCGGGAAATCGGCGGAAGTAAAACGAAGCCGCCTCCGCGGCGGAAGCCGGCGGAAGGCTGGCGGAAGGTGGCGGGAGCAAAAGACGTGCCCCAAAGAGATGAAAACAGATTGTTGGGTTCAGAGTTTCCGGAGTCCGCCATCTATCTTCCAGGCCCGCTACCTCTCGGATAAGGTCGGGCCTGTCCCCCTACAGGCGGATTTTGGGCGAAAAATTGAAAATCCAAAAAATATTCAAGAATAGTCCAAAAAATCGTCCCCATTCTATGTTTTGACTACTCTGAATATTCCCCCTGTACAGGGACAGGCCCGCCACCTCTCGGAGAGGAAGCACACGAGAGGCGCCGCGCACGTCCGAGAAGCATTTTGGCGCCAGAGATGACGGAGAGCAGAGCCGTCTGCAGCGCACGGCTAGCATCAAGTCGGGCCTTTCCCCCTACAGGAGGGAAATTCCAAACAGTCCAAAAAATAGTATGGGAACGCTTTTTTCTTTGAAAAACTATTGTTGAGCAGTTTGGGAACTTGGGAACTTGCTGCAAGTATTCTCATTTTTTCATTTATATATATATATATATATATATATATATAATATATTATATATACCCCCCCCCCCCCAAAAAAAAAAAAAAAAAAGTGGGGGGGACAGGCCCGACCTGAGGCTGGCAGCGAGCACCGCCGCGAGGCAGCGAGACGTCAGGCGGGCACGCCGCGGGCATGCGGGCTGCTGGCGTCGGGCGAGCGCCCGGGGCAGAGGCGAGCCCCGAGCGCCCGCGCGGCGCCCGGGGCCGCAGGGCCCTCCCCCCCCCCCCCCGGAGGGAAGAAAACGCACAGACATTGGGCGTGGCTTAAGGGGGGGGGTCACAAATGGGGGGGTCAGAAGAGGTCCCCTTTCGGGCCCCTCCAGAGCCCCAGGGGGCTCGTTTAGGTACCGTTTGGGTACCTTTTCGGACCACGCTCTCCCCCCCCCCCATTTATGACCCCCCCATTACGCGGCGCCCAAAGACACGATGAGTCGCCGATTCCCCCCGAAGATGTAGGAAGATATGGGCAGCCGGGGGGGGGGAACAGACAGAGGCCCAGGAGAGGTGGGAAAAGGGGGGGGGGGGAGTCTGTTTCTCTGTGTGCAGTTGTCTGTGAGCCCCAGGGCCCCTTCAAGAAGACCCGTCTGCTCTGTAAGAGCGGTTTTGGTGGAAGGTAACTCTGCCTTCAAAAAACAAACTCTCTTATAGAGCATACACTATTGTTTGTGAGGACGGTTTTTTGTTTGAAGGCAGAGCTGCCCCTCTGCCCCAGTGCCGCCTTCTCCTCGCCGCCCTTCTCGGAGAGGGGACAGGCGATCATCCAGAACGGGTGATGCTGCCTTTTGAAAAAGGTTCTCACAGAGTAGACAGTTTTTTTGTCTGAACGGTTTTCTTTAGTCTGTAGGCAGAGCTGCCCCTCTGCCCCGGTCCTTTCTTCTCCTCGCCGCCCTTCTCGGAGAGGGGACGGGCGATCCTCCTAAAGTCGGGCATGTCCCCCTACAGGTGGAATATTCAAGAATAGTAAACAAAATGGTCTGCGGACGATGTTTCGTGCTCGTTTGCTTATGTTTGAGTCGGAGGTTGGGGGTTGGAAAGGAAGTGGCTCCAAATGGAAATCGGTTTCGGTTCGTGTCGTGCGTGCGGGCGAGGCGAAGCTGCGCGAGTTCCTACACTGGTAGGGGCCATCTATTGCCAAAAGGGCCGCCCCCCTCCCCCCGAGCGCTGGGCGTGGCTCCCGGTTGTCCCGGCGATTGTCCTGATGGTTGTGGTTGTCCCGATGGTTGCCCCGATGGTTGTCTCGGAGCTGTCCCAATGATTGTCCCGATGGTTGTCCCGATGGTTGTCCCGATGTTTGTCCCAGTGGTTGCCCCGATGGTTGTCCCGATGGTTGTGGTTGTCCCGATGGTTGCCCCGGTGTTTGCCCCGATGATTGTCCCGATGATTGTCCCGATGATTTTCCCGATGGTTGTCACAATGGTTGTCCCGATGGTTGATAGATAGATGAATATATAGAGATAGAAAGATATATATGTATATATGTCTATCGATAGAGATAGATGAATATATATAGAGAGAGAGGTATCGAGAGAAAGATAAACGGTGTGTCTATAAAAAGAGAAAGATAGAGATAGAGATATTGATAGGCAGAGAAATGATTATATAGATTCAGAGGTAGGTCACAGAGAGTTAGGTAGATAGATAGATAGATAGATAGATAGATAGATAGATATAGATAGATAGATAGCGGGATGGACAGATAAATAGATACATATATGCGTGGCTTGCACAGGTAATTCGAGAGATAGGTCGATAGATAGATGGGTAGATGTGCGCGGCAATGGGAGGAAAGTTGGAGAAACCACCAACGAACCCAGAGCCATCCCAAATCGACCGCCTCCCCCTCTCCCCCAAACCTCCTTATCACCCGTAGGGTGGTCCTATCGGTATGTTTTGACTATTTCCCATTTGTCTTCCAAAATCCGCCTGTAGGAGGACATGCCCGACGCAGGATCATCCAGGACGGGCGATCAGTTTGTTGGATGGATCTCTCAAGCTCTCCACCGCCCCAAGCGCTGTGCTGCCGTCCGCCGCCTCAAGCGGGGTGCGTGGTCAGAGCTGGAGCACAGCAGAGCCACAGGAAAGGCGTGGCACTGACAGCGTAGCTCCGCACATGCGTCAAATGCTCTGGCGAACAGGAGCACAGCACAGCACAGCAAGCACGCGAGCAAGAGCACAGGAAGCACACATGTGTCAGATGCTCCAGCGACTGGGCGGCCGATTGGGCGAGTGCTGGCGCAAACCACAGAGCCCTCCCCCCGCCCGCAGAGAAGGCCCCGAGCTGCTGCCCCGGTGCCGCCTTCTCCCTCGCCGCCCCTCACCTCGGAGAGCGAAGCCCGAGCGACTCCGGGGCCGAGAGCCACGCGCCCGCCCTGCGCAGGCGCCCGCGGGCGCGCCGGAGGGCACCGTGGGCAGGCTGGAGGCGGGGCCGCGGGGGGGCGCGGCGGGCGGCGGCGAGCTCCTTGCTGGGGTCGGGGGGGGCAGGGGCAGCCCTCCTCGTCCGCATCGTCCTCCTCGTCCTCCTTTTCCTCTTCCTCCTCCTCCTCCTCTTCCTCCTCCTCCTCCGCCCCCTCCACCTCCTCAACATCATCCTCCTCCTCCTCCTCTTCCTCCTCCCCCTCCTCATTATCATCATCATCATCGGCTTCATCCTCATCCTTATCCTTCTCCTGCTCCTCTTTCTCATCCTGATGATCCTCATCCTTGCTCCTCGTCCACGGCCACGTCCGCCTCCTCGTCCTCCAAAGGCCACCCATGCTCCTCGTCCTCTTCCATCCCCATTCCTTACGGATAACTCCTCCCTGTCGCACCCAGAGACGTGTCGGTAGGGCGGGCCAGACGTTTCGATTGAGACTTCCTCACCATGTACGATCCATAAGCTTAAAATGTGCAACAGGTTCACGCATGGAGGGCGGGTCGTTTTCAACATGTGGTTCTCGCCTTAGCGCCGCACACATTTGTTTCAAAATTCACAAGAGATTCACAGATGGAGGGCGGGGCGTTGTTGTTTTATGTGGTTCTCGCTTTGGCGCCACGCATATCCGTTTTCAAAGTTTGTAAGAGCTTCACGGATGCAGGGCGGTCCCTGTTCAGAAATGTGGTTCTCGCTTTAGTACCGCGCACATTCCTTTTAAGAGTTTACAGCCGTTTCAAGGACTAGTATGGCTGACGCCAGGGAATGGCGTTCTGGCACGATGTAGAATTCTCAGGGCGCAACAGACTCGCGGTGTTGAAGTCCCAGGAATGGTGCTCTAGCACGAATCAGGATCGTGAGGACGAAACAGTCGTGTTGATTCTCGGCGTTGAAGTCCCAAGAATTGTGTTCTGGCACGGTTTAAGATTGTTAGCCGATTGTTTTCCAACAGGGCATTTCCTTCAGTGAAAACAAACCAGTGCAGGGACCTGTGAATAAGGAATTTGAGGTAGGTTGTATTGCAACATCGTTGGTGGGTGTTGGGTTTACATTGGTCCTCCTCCTCCTCCTCCTCCTCCACCTTCTCCTCCTTTAGATTAATGAAGCCTCTAAAGGCCTCTGGAGACCTAGGCCTCTGATGGACTCTGGTGGGGTCTGGAGGCCTCTGGAGGCCTCCGCTGGGTGCACAGGTGCTTCCTGCGTAAATACTTGATCCGCGCGGCTTCCCTTTCGTGACCGTGGAAGCTTCAACGGGAGCTCGGGCCAGGCCAGGCAGTGGACTGCCAGCGACCTTCGGAGACGGATACCTCCCGGGGGGCTCCTGAAGACCTCTGGGCGGGTCTGGGCAGGCCAGTTGGCGACGACCATCGTTCTGGGGGCGGCAGGTGCTGGGTCCTGCGGCAGGTCCGTGCCGTCCCGCCGCGGCGGCGACGCGTGCGTGGGCGGTCAAAAACGATCGCCATGATGCAAGCGGGTCCTGAGGGAAGCGGGTTCTGAGATGTTGTCTTCTTGTGGACCGAGCCCCAGGACTGACAAGAGCGATTCGGGATGAAGAGGCTTGGACTTGGGGAAGGGGCCCGAGGGGAGACCAGTGTTCTCCAGGACCCGCTTCTGTCACACTAAGACGAAGGCCCCCCGCGGCGGCCTCCAGAGTGCCCTAGTGGCGGGGACCTGTTGGGACCCTCTTGGGCCGTCTGGGCTCCTCTTGGGCCATCATGGGGCCACGTTCAGAACTCCGTACGTCATCTGAGCCCCAATGAAGCTCTCTTCTGGGCCTTCTCGGGTTTCCTCCTCCTCCTCCTCCTCCTCCTTCTCCTCATCCTCCTCCTCCGGCGTCGTCAAGACAGCAAATTTACCGCAGGCGGAGCTGGCAACAGTAACGAACCTCGGGGGCGCCAGTCATTGGACAAGGCGGAGCCTGTGGCGTCGATGAATGTGACCCAGGATGATCTCCGTCTCTATTTCTTCATGTTTGCCTACACCCGGGAACTGGCACCGAGGCGGTGGCAGGGCCTGCAAGTACAGGCGGCCCAGCTGCAGGCGCCGCGTGTGGCCCGGAGCTCGGTCAGCAAGCAGGCGGAACAGCTGCGGGCATGCATCGTCATCGGGGGCGTTGCGAGATCTGTCGTTGCCCCTCCCTTCCCCCCCCCCCTTCCAGCCCGTGGTCTCCGCGCCGCTGCTGCCCTCCTTCCCCTCTCTGCGACTTAGTCGGGGCACTGAGCCTGGTTAGCGGTTGGCGGCCCAACTGATATTATGGTTAGGCTTCAACGTCTGTCGGAAGGCAACCAGCCCAGGGAGGCAGCTCCGATTTCGGCGCACGCGGGCCTCGATGCGCCGCGGGCGCCCTCACGGCAGCGTCACCAGGTGGAGCAGATCCAGAAGGGATGGCGCAGGTTCACGGGGCAGTGAGCAGGACGACAGGCGAGAGGCAGCAGCTGCACACGCGCACGAATGAGATCCAGTTGTTCTGCCGCGCAATCCTGCCACCGAGCTGGGGCGGGCGCCTATGGGAAGGGGCAGGGGGCGGGCGAGGTGCCTCCGAGCGCCCCGCCCGAACTATCGATCTTGGCACCACCTTCTGCCTGGAAGCTTCGGCACGCGCACACGGATGGCACTACGGCCAGGAGCGTTTGCTGATCTTGCCGCGCTGCCAAGTCTAGCCCACGGCGCCTCGGGGCGCCACGCCACCCTCGACCAAGCCCCCACACGAAAACGTCCCGAACTTCTCCCAGGCGTCTCGAAGGGGCCGCCGCCGCGACACGCTGGGCAAAAGTTCCTGACCATACCCACCCAGCTGCACCTCATCGCCCGCACCTCGACGTGCTCATCCCGCACGGCGCTCTCTGTGGGGTCTGCTCGCTTCCTGGGGCGAGCACCTGCGTCTTCGGAGACCGATCGGAAGGTCACCCGCCGGGGCGCGGAGACAACCCCGCTTCGCGCATCACGGCCTGCGCCAGAGCGGCTGCCCTTCTCCAGGGCGGGCAGCGCGAGGGCGCGAATGGTGACCACGCGTCGCGCCCCGCGGGCCGCGATGCGCGAAGTCAGGCGGTTCAGGAGGAGGAGGAGGAGGAGGAGGAGGAGGAGGAGGAGGAGGAGGAGGAGGAGGAGGAGGAGGAGGAGGAGGAGGAGGGAGGAGGAGGAGGAAAAGGAGGAGGAAGAGAGGAGGAGGATGAGGAGGAGGAGGATGAGGAGGAGGAGGAGGAGCACAGCATGAGCACACGTCTCCCAAGTGCCGCGCGGATGGGGCTGGCGCTGGGCCCGCCCCCCCCCCGTCCGTCCACGGGCGGCGCCCCGGCGACCCCCCCTCGCGAGCCCTGCCGCGCCAACGGAGAGGGTGCGGTATTTTTTGGATGTGCTTAATTTTTCGCCCAAAATCCGCCTGCAGGGGGACAGGCCGACCTAATCCTACCTGACGCTGGCGCTTGGAACCTGGGGCGTGGTCAGCGTGCCGCGTCGAAGCTCAGAGGAGCAAAAGGCACCGACACCGCTGCCATTGCCTCGTTCTCGCGTTTTTGGAAGCCTCCTGGGAGGCCCTCGTCGCTGCCCGCTGGATTCGCCTCCACATCCTGGTCAGAACGCACGCCGGGAGAGGTCCTGGGAGTAGCATTGGGTCGGGCATGTCCCCCTACAGGCGGATGTGGTGCGAATTTGTTTTTTAATCAAATGTGCTGCACCATTTTTGAGTACTCCTCCTGTAGAGGGACAGGCCCGACTCAGGAGTAGGGCCAGAACCGGCGGCGCGACACGTTGAGCAAACGTTCCTTGTCGCAGATCCCACGCTCCTATTGTGAAGGCCTGACGGTCAGTGCCGCCGACCCTGAAAGACATCGACAACGACCAAGAGGGGGGAGGAGAAGGAGGAGGAGGAGGAGGAGGAGGCGGCAGAGATAAGGAGGAGGAGGAGGAGGAGGTTGAGCAAACGTTCCCTGCCGCAGACCCCACGCTCCTACTTGCTTGTGCCACGCAAGCATCGGCGGCGGGGCTGTTGCTTTCCTGGCATGTGTCTAATGCAATGCAAGCTCGGCAGGCCTGGTCGAGCAGCAACGCAGCGGCATTTGGAAAAAATGCTCCAGTATGCTCTGGTATGTTGCAGCCCAGATGCTTGCAAGGGCTCCCACCCAAGAAAGCAATAGAGCCACGGTCCCACCTGCCACTCCTTCCTCCGCATCCTCCTCCCCATCCTGGTCCTGATCCTCCTGCTCCTCCTGCTCCTGCGCCTGCTATTCCTGCTCCTCCTGCTCCTCCTGCTCCTCCTCCTCCTCCTCCTCCTCCTCCTCCTCCTCCTGCTCCTCCTCCTCCTGCTCCTCCTCCTCCTCCTCCTCCCCCTCCTCCTGGTCCTCCTGCTTCTCCTGCTACTCCTGCTCCTCCTCCTCCTCCTCCTCCTCATCATCCTCCTCCTCCTCCCGCCCGTCCTGCCCGTGCACTGCGAGGGCGCCGCCATCGCGCAGCTCGACTTCAGAAACTGGCAGATCAGCCTCGGCGTGGCCTCCGTCGTCGGCGCCCGACTGTCCGAGCTGCTGGTCGGCGTGGAGGTGGAGGCTACCGTCCTGAGGGCCACCCCGGGAGCTCAACACACACACACACACACACACACAACGAAAAAATCTATTTGGGAGGACAATATTTAGATGCCCGCGTCGATCAAGATGTCGATATAGCTGCGCTGATACAGTGAGCACCGATGCATTTACAAAACGGATCTGCCTTGATCTCGGGCGCGCGGGCGGGGCTTGGTCCGGAGCTCCCCAAGAGGGCCCCAAACGGCTCCACATAGCTTCCAGACGGCCACAAGACGGGCTACGAGGGCTCCAGGAGGCATTCCAGACGGTCCAAGAGGGCTCGGAGTTGCCGAGTAATCGGTCCAAGACGCTCCAGATAGCCTCCAGGCAGCCCAAGAGGCCACAAAGGCGCCCCAAGAGGCATCCAAGAGCTCTCCGACGAGAGCTACAAGAGGCACAAACCGTTTCAGTCTTTCTGGGAAACACATACGTTTAGCATGTGCGGCTTTTCGGGGGCAGCATTAGGGGAGGAATAGGCTCATGGCGGGGGGGGGCATCGACCCCCAATAGCCCATTGATCGCCGATAGGAGCCCGATAACCAGCCCCGCCCAGGACCGTGCGGATTTGCTCTCGGGGGCACATCGCCGATCCATCAGTGATGCATCGCCGATCCTGGGTCGACGTCTCCCCTCTGAGCCGGTCCCCTCCTCCTCCTCCTCCTCCTCCTCCTCCTCCTCCTCCTCCTCCTCCTCCTGCTCCTCCTCCTCCTCCTGCCCTGCTCCTGCTCCTCCTCCTCCTCCTCCTCCTCTCTCTCCTCCTCCTCCTCCCTCCTCCTCCTCGCTCCCCTCCTCCCTCCTCCTCCCTCCTCCTCCTCCTCCTCCCTCCTCAACGGTCGGGCCCCCTCCTCCTCCTCCTCCTCCTCCTCATCCTCCTCCTCCTCCTCCCCGCCTCCCCCTCCTCCTCTTCCTCCTCCTCCTTCTCTTCCTAAACGTTTCTCCTCGAGTATGGGGCCTTATCGTGGGCACAGCCGGATCCGTCTCAGAGTGCTGACCCAGGCGCACCCTGGCGGGCTTCGAGCTCTGACCACGCCAGGGCCTCCGATACGCCGTGGCTGGTGTGGTCCCGGTCCCTGGGAGCGGCTGGAGCCCTTGGAGGCCAGTTTTCGGGCTCACGGGCCAGTATCAGCCACGCGCAGAGGGGGGGGGTAGGGGGAGGGGGAGGGCTGCTCAGAAGCATTCCTGCTTCTTAGAAGGCGCGGGCCTTCTTAGATGCAGGGCGGGCGTCTTCTAAGAAGCAGCCAGCCTCCTTCTAAGAAGCCTTCCCCCGCCCCTCCCCCCTTGTGCGCGCCGCCAACCATCAGAAAACGCCCTAGGGGTCAAGAGCGACTGTCCCCAGGATGGGGCCGAGGGGATTCCAGGGGTGCGCCGCCACAGAGAAGCACGGCGTCCAGTGCCCAGAGCTGTCCACGATGACCCTCCCCGTCGGCTTCCTGGCGCGGCCCCGGGGGTCCCGACCCTCTCCCAGGGGCAAGTGTCTCGCCCCGGGTCCGTTTCTGATGGCCCTTGGGCGGACTGGAAAACGCAGATGGTCGGAGGTCTGGGCCTCCCCCACGACCGTTGCCCCTCGGCCGCCTGGCGCCCCGAGCGACGCACGCCGCCCAGGTCACGCGCTTCGGCGCCTGCTGCTTGCAGTCAACCTGCGTAGTAAGGATGGGCTGTGATCCCAAGGGTGCCCTCGCATCCTTGCCTCCTCGACCCATCCTGGGTCACTTTCGTTGGCCGCGCCCCGCTCGAAAAGCTTCGAAACGGCCTTCCAAGGCCCTTGCATCCTTATCGTGCATCCTTACTATATGGGTCGACTGTACGTCGGGGGGGGGGGCGCAGCGTCCCATGGAGAAGTGGACGAGTAAACAGACATTATGGGTTCGTCGCCGCCGCCGTCGAGGCTTGGCAGGCCGCAGCCAGCGACCCAGACGAGAAACGCTGGTTTTCTTGATCGTCCATGCGCAGCCTGTGTCCCAATCGTTTGGTCGAGGTTCTTGCCTTGTGGCTCCTCGAGCGACACCGCCCAGGTCACGCGCTTCGGCGTCTTCTGCTACGTGGGCGCAGAGCAGGACGCGCTTCTGCCCACGAGCCAGATGTCCAGGCCCCCTCGGGCCCGCCGCAGCTTTGCTGCGGGGCTCGGCCGGCCATCACGCGGTCGGTGTCGGGGCACCCAGAATGTTCGAGGTTCGAGCTTCCCAGTCATGCGACGTCCTGAATTTGTTGATACCGTCAAGACGCTGAAGTAAGAACCACGTTGGACCACGTTGGTTTCAGGAGAGGAGCTTCATGCCGTGGAACGTGTTTGTGGCCTAGGTTCCGCCATGGCCAGGAAAGTCCCCTCTCTCCTTATTTTGCGTTTATCTGCGCCGTCGCCGCTTCGGTGGGCAGCGCTTTCTCAGATAGCAAGATCACGAAGCCGTTAGGGCAACCTCGCGAGCCACGCCGCTGGCGCACGAGACCAAGACAAACCCGTGGGTTTCGGGCGGGGCGCCGCCGCGCTCAGGCGGGAGGCACCGCGAAGCCAAGCTCTGCGGCGAGCTGCTCGGCCTCAGCCATTGAGCTCGCCGCTCTCTTGTCGAACTCCCCGAACGCATTCGCAAGGACGCCGGCGGCCCGCGCTCCAGAAACTCGCGCGAAGGCGGCCGCAGGATCAGCATGTTCCGCATGCACGTAGCGCGGGAGAGCATGACGTAGAGGTGCAGCCACCACTGCTCGTCCCACATGCCCGTGCTACCAGCGCCCTCATACCTCGGACGGTCGATGGTGACGCACTTGCGAAGCGTCTGACCTTGCGACAGCGTGGAGGTGAGGTAGGATTCGTGCGTCATGGTGAACCCCGTGCGGCGCACGGCGTGCTGCCCCGAGCTCTGCCACACGACTTCCTGCTCGATGGGCCTGAGCAAGTTCCGCGCCCGCGCCTCGGCCTCGCCGTCGCCTCCAATGCCTTCGTCACCCATGGGCAGCAGCCCGGCGACTTTCTGGTAGATAGGGGCCTTTTGAAGCCGTGCCCACATGCCCCGCGGAGGAAGCGGGGGCGAAAGAGCTGGCCTCGCGCGCCTTCTTCGCACCGCAGCCGGTTTGCGAACCCCATAAAGAATTGGGTTCCCACTCAAAACTTCCTCACCATCCATTCCGAGACGAGGTTCCCGCTCAAGACTAGATTCCGGATCCACACCCCACGACACTACAGGTGACGACGGTAATAGGATTTGGGTGACCCGTTCGGGTTCCCGACATGGTCTGCTTGCCCCATCGGGACAGGGCGCCCCGCCTGAGATTTCCCCGCAAATCACTCACAGACGAGGTTCCCGTCCGAGTATTCCTCCAGACCCTCGCTTCGGGAATTCAAAAGTGGCGGCATTCGCATGGTCTGGATTACCCGTTCTGATGACGAGCTCCTAACATGATCTGGCCACATGATATGGCGGCCCCATTGGGAGGGTCGCCCGCCTGAGACGCCCCCACGATTCAGTCACAGGCGAGGCTTCCGTTGGAAACCTTCCCTAGCTGAATGTGTGGGTGTGTGGGTGCCACTGGGATTGTTACTGATGATGTGGATGATGATGGGATGTTGACTGCGATGGCGATGGTGTTCATGATGGGACGGCGACACTGGTGATGATGATGTTGTGATAGCGATGAGGATGGTGATGATGATGATGATGATGATGATGATGATGACGATGACGGTGTGGGTATAAGTGATTGATTGCGTGTGGGAGTGAGCGAAGCGATGATCATGATGGTGGTGATGGTGATGACGACGATCGTGGTGATGAAGGCGATGGTGATGATGATGGTGATGGTGGTGATGATGATGATGATGGGTGGGTGTTCCTCCTGATGTTCCTGCGATGAGGTGTCGTGAGAAAACAAGAAGCCCACAGACGATGTGAAAGCGCACCCTGAAATGAAAATTGTTTGGGGGACCCATTGTTTTGGGTGTTGTTCCCCCCGCCCGCCTGGAAACAAACGAAAAAATGTTGTCCGTGTGTTTGTTTCGGGGGGGGTCCTCACAATTGCCCGGTTCCGCTTCAAAATGTGTTGTTTTTTTCGTTGGGGATTTACATGTTGATTTCTGTGTGGATTGCGGATGTTTGTTTGGTGAGACGATACAAAAGTTGTTGTGTGTTCGATGTGCAATCCTAGCGTGCGGCTTACCCTTGAAGTCCTGTTGTGTGACATGGTGAATTGTCAAGTTGGTTCCTGTTGCGTGTGTGAGTCTTATACATACCACGTTTTTATGCGATGTACACTATAACTTCTTCGCCGGGCGAGTTGCAACTTGATTTTTCTTGTGCGGGTTACACATGAAAAATTGCCGTGGGGCTGTACAACAGGATATTTGTTGTAGGGGGTGTACATGTTGGTTCCTAGCGTGCGCGTTATCAGTAGAATCCTGTTGCGCGGTTTAACAATGGAGCTTCTGTGGGCGATTTACGCAGTTGCTTCTTATTGTAAAGTACTCACGATTTGATTTCAAGTGCGCGGGTATTCGGAAATATTCGCAGGACAGCACGCCACGCAAGACAGCACAAATAGAGCGCAGCAAAACGAGCGAGAAATCACGGGAACGCTTAGAAACCAAGTCGCGCGGCGAGGGGTTCAGAGGACGAAAACAGATTAAGACTCTCCGTCCGGATTGTTCCCTGACGCGACCATATGTGGGTCCGATCCTCGAGAATTGTAGGAAAGAGCCTCGATCATCGAGATTCTCTCTGACGCCCCTGCCCTTGCCCCTCCCTGGGGGCCTCTGGCGGGCTCCCGTCTCCGGGGATCGAGAGGCTCTTGCTTTCGCCTCTGCCCCACCCTGGGTGCTACTCTGGTGGGTTTCACGCGGCCGCGGCTGGATTCCCTGCGCAGCTCTGGCCTCAGACACGCTCGCATCGTGGAAAAAAACACAGCGGAAGGTTCGTTGCCACGTTCGGCCTCCAGGGGTCCTCGCCAGGCCCCGGGACTGTCGGACAACGATTCGGGGTGAAAGACCAGTCCCAGGGAACAGGTGGGACGTCCAGGAAGCCCGCATTGAAAAGATCAAGGCATCCAATGTCTGGGGCAAAATCTCAGGGGCGGCCTAACCGACCCCTACCAAGCCATCCCCATCCGTGACGTCCTCCTCGCCTCGCCCCAAGACGTATGTATGCGGCCAGAGGGGAGCTCGAAAGGCGAGGATGACGTCACCGAAGGGCATGGTTTGCCAGAGGTCGGTGAGGCCGCGCCCCAAAATGAAGGCATCCAATGTCTGGGGCCAGAGCGCACCATGGGCCAAGTCGGACGACTCCCCCCCTGGACCTCACATGGGGCGGTGGAGGACGGCTCGTGCACGTGGGGTCCTGGGGCCTCTCCCCGTTCAGTTTTCCAGCGTGGAAAATGTGCCTCCTGCGTGCGCTTCTTGCGCCAGCAAGCTGCTTCTCGGCCACTTCAACTCGATCGACCCTCGTCCCTTTCGCGCGGGCGGGCGGGGACCATCAGGGGCGGGGGCGCAACAGTGCAGCTCTTCTGCGTTCCAACGAAACGTTCCGTCGTTTCCAATGCAAACGTCCCCGTGATGCAAATCGTTTGCTTCGTTTGATGCGCAACACTCCCAGGCTGCAAATGCCACGCCTCCGCACGGCAGCGCCACGGAGCAACCTCTCTGGCTTGCAGCGCAACGCTTCCATGCTGAAATGCAGGGCCTCCACGTTGCGGCACGTGGCCCCCTGCTCTGCGGCCCCCACTGGCCCGCCGTGGTCGCGTGGGATAGGCTCGAGTCGACTCGGCTCTCGGCTCGATCAGCTCCCGACGTCGCACAGTCCTTTTTGGGGGGGGGGCACGGGCACAAGACAGACGAGGAAGCGCCCACCTGGCATGCGTCGCACAGTCGCACCTCTCGGCCAGCCGCCCCCTCCGCACGCCCCCCTCTTGTCCCCCCATCGCTCGAAGAAGAAAGAACCACAGAAACGTAAACTTTTGGCGCTCCGCGCGGATTTCTTGGATCCGCGCTAGCCCCCCCTGGCGGTGCCTCCGGCGCTGCCCCTGGCGCGCTATTTGTTCTTCTCTTCTAATCGCACCTCTCGGCAAGCCGCCCTCTCCGCACGCCCCCCTCTTTGTCCCCCAGCAGACGCCGCCACCGCCAGCCCCTGCGTGTGAGATCGGCACCGCGGGCCCGGCGCCAGGATCTTTGTCCTTTTGCTGTCGGAGCGCTCCGGACCGTCGGGAACGATCGCGGCGCCCGCTACACCCGTCGGACATCTTCAAAAAAGGAATCAATGTTCATGGGCTCCAGATGTCGGTTTTCCTCCGTATGTTGGTATACACCTATATATATATACATATGTATACATATATCTATATATATATATATATATATATCGTAGTCTGGTCTTTTCAACAACTAACATCAACAATATATATGTGTGTTTTAACACAAAATGGGAACTTGACCCTGGGCGATTGCTTGAAGCCTCGGTTCTTCGCAGCACGCTCGCATATCAGGGCCTGGGCTGCTGTTCAAGAACTCGCTTGGAATGAAGCCCATTTTCTCTGCATGAGACATTATTTGCTCTAAGCAGAGGTGCACGTCTTACAGAACCACCAGATCTCAGAGATCCCCGATTCATCCCTGTCCGATGTTGTGCCAGTCCCGGCTTCGTCTTCCGATGACGGCGAATAGAGACTGTATCCACCCGTGCCTGCAGGTTCCTTGGGCGCGCCCTCGTCTCGGTTCGCCCGAGTCCTTGCCTACGGGGCCCTGGTCCATAGACTGTTTTTCTTCTGGATGTTCAGCTTTTGGCGGCTGGCCCTGGGGCCATCAAAAAAACACTCGGGACGAACAGCTTGGCCCAGGGAAGAGAACGAGAAGACCAGAGGCCTAGAGGCTCGAAGATATTGAGCGGTCGGAGGTCTGGGCCTTTCAGACCCGAGCTCTTCCCCTCATTCCCCCTCGCTGCCACCACCCCCTCCTTGATTGTCTTCACCCTTCTCCGCAGTTCACACTGGCGCTTCTCCCGCTACTCCTACCCTCCCCCTCCTCCCCCTCCTCCCCCTCCTCCAACAACCACCCTCCAGCAGGATGGATCTGCTGGCCTTCGCGACTGTCTGGTCACTCCTGTGCCGCACAGATGGACTCGGTCTGGGGCGCCAGCCTGGACAGGGCTTGGATTCGCACAAGGTTTACCTCGAATCGACCTTTTGCAGAGATCGAAGGAGTGCACACGTGTTCAGGCAAGGACAGGCAGGCTAGAATGAGCAGAATGAACAGAGCGCCGGCCAGGCAACCCTCGGAGTACGTGATAGGCGAGAAGCTGGAAGGAATGAGGACGACTGGAGTCCAAATCGTCGGAGGGGTCCGCACAGGAGGATGCGGGGCAGAGGGGGGAGTGACACATGATGGACCAGGAACTCGGAGCCCACCCCGCCTGGCATCATCGTGAACCGTGGCCCCCGGTGCTGCTGCCGCAGCCCAGATTCTGTGATGCGCAGCTCGGGAAGGCTGGCGCTCCGTCTCATCGCCTTCCTGCACGGCGGGGGCTGTGCTGGTGCCCCCCATCACGCTGCTGCTGGGCCGCGGAACGAAGCTTTGCTCGATCATCGCCACACCTCAGCGAGGGAACGCAGATCGCCTTCCGGAGGCAGGCGCCCCCTGAAAATGCAGGGAGGAGAAGAAGCCATGGTTTGTTGCGAGGTCGAAGATCAAAGATTATTCCGCCCTGGTTTTAGAATTAAGTCGGGCCTGTCCTTCTGCAGGAAGAGTATTCAAAACTTGTCCAAAACTAGTCTGGGGACAATTGTTTTAGCATGTTTTGAGTATTGTTGAGCATTTGTTGGGTACTTTTAATTTTTCGCCCAAACCCCCCCTGTAGGGGGACATGCCCGACCTAATTTTAGAAGTTCTGCCCCCCTTTTTCCCCCAAGGGCCTCGAGGACACCGACCTGGACACCCGGCGGCTCGAAGAAAGAGGAGGCGACTGATTGTGTTGTCAAGTCTGGGCCTGTGGAGGAGCATCTTTGGGCATCGGGACCACCGCAGAAGTACTCGGAGTGAAAAGCCAGAAACGGAGAATGGGGCAGGGCCAGGACAGGCAGTGAACCGTTCCAGAGCGTTCTGGAATGCTCCTGGAGCGATCCGGAGCACTCTGTAACGGCCGCGGCGCCCGACACATCCTCCAGAACCGCCGCCGGATCTCAGAGATCCCCGAGTTGTCCCGATCCGATTTTGTCTTGGCCATGGCTTCGTCTCGAAGAAGCGGTCAAGAAGTCCAGCGTGCACATGTCCCGACAAAAATCGAGCCGCAGGTTGTCTGGGCCAGAGGAAAACAGCGCTGAAAGAAGGAATGGAAAAAGTCTGGATGGATGGTGGTACTGTCAAGAACGTTTGCTTAGCGTGTCGAGGCGCGGGTCTGGCCCATCACACTTCCGCGCGACACGCCGACCACATCCCAGTCCCCAAGCGTCAACGTCCCGAGCCTTTCCCATTTCTCCGCCCCGCTCTGCGGAGCGACGCGCCATCCGCTTGCAGGTCACAGCGTGTCGCGAGGGCCGTCGCCGCGACACGCTGAGCATAAGGTCCTGACCCTGCTCACAGACGGACGTGGGCGCCTGCCAGAGCATCGGAAGGCTTCCACCACGGTGGCGATCTGCTGTCAGCCGGCCTCTCGCGGGAGCGCGCGGGCCTCGGCCAGGTCCGGGGCACGCCGTCGCCTTCCCCGCGCTCGCATGCCTCTCGCGCGCGCGCGCTCGCGCCAGGCGGGCAGGGACGGGCGGGCAAGAAGGCAAGCAGACGGAAGGGGTCGACTGGGGTCGAGCCCCACAGTTTCGGTTCACCTCGCGCGTCTCACTTGTTCCTTAGTGAACCCCCGACCCCCTCTGTGTTCAGACGAGGGGCGCTCGGCAGGACAGGCGGTTGCAGGATCACCTTCATCAACCGTTAGCAGCAACAGCAGACGGAAAGGGTGACGCGCACACCGACGGGCAGAAAGAGAGCGCGTGAGCGAGTGAGCACGGCAAGGTCGCGCCGCGTCGACGCGCGGTGTCGACCTCGGCGCCGGCGTGCCAGGTTGAGCCCCGCCCGCCGCCCGAAATCGGCCGACATCGAAGGATGACCGCTTTCGGAAGGCGTCCGTCGCTCCCGGTTGCGCGCAGGTGGTCACGACATGAAGTTGTGCCACAGCATTGCAAGGCCATGGGAGGCCTGCAGAAGCAAGGAGTGGGCAGAATGATGCCCCTCGGGACTAGACTTAGGTCGGGCATGTCCTCCTACAGGTGGGCAATGGAAGAAAATAACAAATGCTCAAAAAGAAAAGAAAAATCGCCCCAACATTGTTGGACTCTTCTTGAGCATTCCTCCTGTAGGGTGACATGCCCGACTTAAGACTAGACTCGCCCCGCTGTCGCGGGCACGTATAGGGAGGAGGAGGTGTCGAGGGGAGAGCCGGAGGCCTCTGGGAGGGATCCCAGCCGAAGATTTCTCTTGAGGAGCAAGCAACATAGACCTCCCAGGGAACAAGCAATGTACAGAGAGAGAGAGAGCGAGTAGACAGGTGTAGTCTCAAGCGCCTTGGGCGAACCGGAGGAGCAGGAGGGCGAAGAGAAGGAGGAGGAGGGAGGGAAGAAGGGCGGGAGGGAAGGAGCAAGGAGGAGGAGGAGGCGGAAGAGCAAACGAGGGAGGGGGGGAGAAGGAGGAGCAGCAGCACCACCACGGGGAGGAGCGGGATGCGGAGGGGAGGCGATGAGGCGGGCGGAGGGGCAAGACCAGGCAGGAGCGCCTGCGCGCGCCAGCGGCCCGACGCCGCGGGGAGGAGGAGGAGGACGGGGGCCCGGCTGTGCCGCAGAGCCGCCCTCGCCCGGCGTCCGCCCGGCCGCCCCCGAGGATCACCGAGATCGACCAGGTGCTCGGGCGGCTGTCGCTGTCCGACCGCCTGCTGGTCTCGGAGTTCTCCCTGGGCCAGCGGGTCTCGGGCCGCGTGACGAGGCCGGGCCGGGGCTCCCGCGGGCCGCTGGCCTGGAGCCGGCCGGGGGTCGGAGGCGGCCCAGCATCAGTTGTTAGTCGGGCACGGCCCTCTGCAGGAGGAGTTTTCGAAGAGTCAAAACACAGTCTGGGAAGGATGTTGTTGTTCATGTCTGACTTATATCTTGGAGCATTGTTTGAGTATCTTATATGTTTCGTCCCACATCCGCCTGTAGGGGGACACGCCCGACCTGGCATTAGTTCTGGCCAGCAGGAAAAGGGGGGGTGCATCTTCGAGGCTCGGGGTTCGGGAAGGTCTTTGTTGCCTTCTCCGGCTTCTGGGGGGGGCCGCTGTCGGGCCCGGGAGGCCGTCAAGCACAGGCCATTGGCGGAGGGATCCGGGGACCGATTTTGAGAGGCGTTGGATGCATCTTCCCTCCTGACCGATGTCTAGGGTCCGAACCAGTTCAGACCCCCGGGCCGCCTCCAACCCCTCATTGTTCCTCCTCCTCCTCCTCCTCCTCCTCCTCCTCTGCCGTCCTTGCGTCTTCGTTCCCTTGGCTCCCCATCATGTTGCGAAAGACTCTTTCCGAAGTGTGCGATTGCACCTAATCTGAATCATTTGCGAGCGCAGGTTGTTCGACCCTGTGCAGCGATCGAAGTGCTCCTGATTCGACTGTCGGGAATGGGATTCCATTTAATGTTTGACACCGATGGGAGCACAGTGCTCCCACGCGCCCCACGGCCGCCCTTTTGTGGTTGACAATTGAGACTGTGTCGTGTGAAGCGTAGCCAGCCAGCCAGCGTCCTCATCCTCCTGACCATTCTCCTCATCCTGCTTTCATTTCGGGGCCCTCTGGGTTCCAGAACTTATGTGGCATGGTGCTCCCTCCCACCACGCACGGACATTGCTGGCCCGCGACCAGCAGGGCGTCCCTCGAGAACCACCCCACAGGCACCCCCCGCCAATATTCGGCCCGCCGCCACGGCCGTTACTATTGGAAAGCAAGCGGAGCTTGCCAGCGCCCACAGAGCTGGAGCGACGGATCCCCGCTAGGGCCCGAACGACCCTTGGATTCAAGACGACGAGGAATGCTGTTGATTTGCCTTACCCCTGTCAAACGCAAGCTGCGGCCTGCCTCAACCCGCACATCTAGACAACCGCGAATAGGTTCCACGAGTGTTCCGCCCAGCCCTGTCAACGACGCGACGAGCAACTTCTGGAACACGCCGGAGCCGCAGCGTTCGGTCTCCTCCACCACTGCCAAGCAGGAGAGGCTGGACAAGGAAGTTGTCGAGGCCCGCGCTCGGTCAGACACCGCGCGGGAAGACAACAAGAAATTGTGGGAGGTGGTCATCCGTCTCCAGGAGACCGTGGCAAATTCTGGGGTAGAGTTGTACCTGAATTGGACACCTCCAACGCAGGCGATTGAGACAGGAAAGCAGTGTATCATTACTGTATTATCACTTCTGGGCGAGGCGCGATTCGCCATTTACTCCAGCTTAAATTCTGCTAGTTTGCTGGACTGGCTACATCTGCCGTTCTCGTTGACGCAACGACGCCTGGGAAGAGCATGTCAACCACTGCTGCTGGCGCTGGGGTTTTGGCCGCTCCTCGTGCGAAGATCCTGTATTCGGCCGTGTAGCAAGACAACGATTGGCGTACATTCACCATCAACACGTTCGACGGTGGAGCCGCGCGAGTCTTTACCAATCACGAGAGGAGCCCCCAGGATGATCAGCCAGGAGGTCCACTGCGAGATGCTTTCGAAATTGGTTGTCATAGCCGCCACAGGTTCGGCTGGGATCTCGCGCTCGACGGACCCAGGGCTACATCGCATGCCGTTCGCACCCGCGGTCGCTGGTGGTGCATCAGACCAACCGGGTATCCTATAATAGAGCCTGGTCGCGGACAGCCAACGTTCAGCCACGCGCAGAGGGGGGTGGGGGGAGGGGGGGAGGGCTTCTTAGAAGCACCCCTGCTTAGAAGGCGCGGGCCTTATCTACAGATGTAGTGCCAGCGCCTTCTAAGAAGCAGCCTCCCTCTAAGAAGCCCTCCCCCCTCTCTCCACCCCCTCGTGCGCGCCGTCAAAAGCTTACGTCCGAGTGGAGGGCCACAAGACGAGCGACGTGGGTTTGCCTGGCCCCGCCGAGCGGCCGCCGTGGGCGGAGCCGGATGTGACGCGCCCGCAACCACGGGCGCTCCTCCTGACACTATTACAACAAAGAGGTGCGCACCTACGTACTACCACGACTACTACGAGTGCTGCTACTGTTACTACGACGACGACGGCGACGACGACGACGACGACGACTACTACTACTACTGCTAGTGCTACTACTACTACTACTACTACTACTACTACTACTACTACTACTACTACTACTACTACTACTACTACTACTACTACTACTACTACTACGATTCATACTACTACTACTACTACTACTACTACTACTACTACTACTACTACTACTACTACTACTACTACTACTACTACTACTACTACTACTACTACTACTACTACTACTACTCTACTACTACTACTACTACTACTACTACTACTACTACTACTACTACTACTACTACTACTACTACTACTACTACGACTACTACTACTACTAATACTACTCCGACTACTCCT